GACGCCCAGACCGGTCCCCGCCGGATGCCGCCGCCCGCCCGCCCCTTATGTAACCGGGTTATGCAAGGACAGCGGCCCCGTTACATAAGGCGGCGCCGGGGGCGGGGCTGAAAGGGGCCGCGTCCGCCCGTCCGTGCGTCCCTCGTGCGTCCCCGCGCCGCCCCCGGCCTCAGTTTCCCCCGCGGCAGGCCGGGCCCCGCCTGGGAAGCACCTACGGGTGCCAGGCCCTGTCAGTCCATGCGGGGGGGCGGGGTTAGCTGCGCACCGGACCCCAGTTCAAGTCCCCCAGGGGCGACCTCTGACCCCTCGCCACCCTCATCCCGCGGCAGCCGCACTCACCGCGCGCCTGCTGTATACCCAGGGCACGGGGGGTGGGGGGGGCTCCAGGGGTGGGGGCCGCCGAGGGTGGGGGGAGGAGCCCCCGGTGCTCGCCAGCGCCCTCTACGGCCGCTGCGGAGGGTGACTGGGTTGGGACTGTGCCCTGCCTCAGTTTCCCCATCTGTGCATTAGGAGAGTGTGTGCGCGTTACAGGGCCAGAATGCAGTCGGTGCCAACTGCGTGCTCACCGGACACCAGGGGGGAGGGATTCTAACTCGAACCCAGGCCGCGTCCAGCGCGGCGCCGGCCTGGGGACCAGGAAGGCTCGGCGCATGGCGCCTGTGCCAACCGCGTCACAGCGTCTGGGCGGCTGTGACAGCCGGGGAAACTGAGGCCTAGGCAGACCAGACAGGGCCTGGGCAGAGGAGGCCCCAAATTCCGGGGGTGGACCCCGCCGTGGCCACACCGCAGACCTGCGCCCGAATGTGCGGACCCAGGCCGCAGGAGCCCCACACTGTGCATCTGCACTGACCCGGGCTGAAGCGCTGCCCACTAACCCCCAAGAATCCCACATGTCAGTCAGGGGCTGGGGGTGTAGCCGGGGCGCAGCCCCGCCTCCCAGGGAGGGGCTGGGGCGTGGTCAGGGTGGAGCCCCGCCCAGAATCCCCAGTGAGGGCTGGGGGCGTGGTCAGGGTGGAGCCCCGCCCAGAATCCCCAG